GGCAGGCGGACTCTCAAGCACTGCGCCACCAGGGAAGCCCCTAACAGAACTTTTAAGCACAAATTCCTACAGCTGAATCAAGCTCTGGGGCACAGTGTCACTGTACAAGACATGCCCAGGGGCCTTGGTGCTGTTCTGGAAGGTTCCCATGGTGAGGCGAGAGATGGCATGCAGCATGGCCGTGAGCCCACCAGCCAGCAGGAAGGACCTCATCCGTCAGTAAAGACCATGCACAATCTCCGAGAGGAAAGAGAATACTGAGAAGGAAAGTAATTCACTTGTCACTCAATGTCATCCAGTCATGGCTGTGTGCAACAATATCATGACATTTTTCACGCAAAAGACAACAGATCAGACAGGGTGGAGGTGGGAGCCGGGTCCTGCACTCCACTCCACCACCGTCTCACCGGACAGTGTGGCGCCCTAGCAGTTTATGTCTCCAGGAGAGCTCTCTCATCTTCAAAATGAGAGTCAGACTAAAACTCTCCGGAGTTCAATTTTCCTGCATTAAAATCCTATGATTCAATGAAATGCCAGGTTTATAACCAGCCCCAGCTGACATTAGCGATCACACATACAACGTCCTGATGGCAAAGTTCCTTCTCCCTACCCCATGGCTACGCTGAGGAAAGAATGGGGAACTCAGCTGCTTTTCCCGTGCAGAGCGGACAGAACAAAGAACGTGATGAAGCAAAGACCTAACTACATTTCACTGATGAATGAAACCAAAGCTTCATTTTGAGAAGTTTTCCGTTAGATGCACCAGCAAAATGATAAAAACAACAAAGACAAAAAAACAGTTGCATGGCATGTAAAATAAGAACGCTTGAACTTAAAGCGTTACGCACATGCATTTATCTGTCCCCCACTACCCTTGAGAGGCAAACACGTTTTCCACAGGGAAAAAATCTGCAAGGAGTAAAGGAGGGGCAATGTTCTGAGGCCTCAAGCACCAAGCTACAGCTGAAGAAGAGGGGGCCCAGGACCCCCCTGCATTAACCCTCAGTGCTCCCACCTCTACCCATTACCCCCAACACCCCTGGCCCCTCACACACAGAGCTAACTACAAACCCAGAACAACCGCGACTTCATCAGCTGAGCCGCTACAATCACAGCTACCAGCATGATGCTATCGGATAGGTGCCACAGACAAAAACCAAAAATAAATACTGCTGACAGGTAGTTGTGACAGGTACCGCAGGGAAGAGCTGGAAAGGAGCCAGCCCAGAATGAAAGTGGCAACTCAGAAAAAAACCCTTAGGCCAGCAAAAGCCGAGAGATACAAAATAAACTCATCCCTCGGTTTAAAGTGAGGCATGCCTAAAACTCTTTCACCAAGGACTAGAGAGACCAGGCATTTTTCAAAGGTTGCAGTACAAAAGCGATCTGGAATTTCAAAGTTGCTAAGAGAGTAAATCTTAGGAGTTCTCACACATATTACACACAGTTCTGTAATATGGTGAGCATGTTAACCAGACTTACTGTGGTGATCATTTCACAGCACACACAGATATCAAACCATTATATTGTACACCTGAAACTAATATAACATTGTATGCCAATTATACATCAATTTTTTAATGACATGGGGAAAAATACTATTGAAGGAGAAAAAAAATTCAGCCACGTAGGAGACTAGTGTAAACTAAGTCAGCAGGTGTCACAAAGCACCAACACTAGATAAATAAATGCCTTACGGGGAACACGCCTCTTCCAATCCCGGCGTCACAAACACTCAGGCTCATCCACACCCCCCGAGTGGTGGGAGCGCTGGCTCCAGAGCAAGCCAGCCTGGAGAGACCCTCACCGTCTCCACGTTTCCCCCTGTGCGCACCACAACGCCTCAAAGGGCTGCTGGAAAGAAGAGCCCGAGAGGTGCCCAGCTGCACAGAGCTGGTTGAGCCAACAGCCTGTTTATGCTCCGCACGGCACCTGCCACACCCTGGAACTGTACTGGCGCACCTGCTGTCATCAGTTGAGCCCCATGCAGGTCAGCTCCAGAGCAGCGATCTTGTTCGAGTCTTGGGACCATCATGTGGTCAGTAAATGTCTAATGCAGAAATGAGCAAAACCCAGGGTTATCCTCAGTGAAAGCGAGGCCATCTCCTCCCAGAGGTCACAAGTGGATTTAGGAGGCATAGATATGACTGAGGCATGACAGTCTGTCCCTTAGCGCAATGAGGCGAAGGACAGGCCCCTCACAACACACCGCTCATGGCAGAGCAGCATCGTGAGACTGACACCCCAATGACCAGTGTGCACATCTGAGATGCTGTTTTCAATGGGAAGGTTTCCCGGATGGCTGTGGGAAGAGATGCCAGGTAACCTGTGTCTCTTAAGTCAAAGAAAGAGAAAATAACTAGTTTGTTGTTTTTTTTTTTCTGGCCGCACAGCGCAGCTTATGGGATCTTAGTTCCCCGACCAGGGATTGAACCCTCATCAGCAGCAGTGAAAGCACGGGGTCCTAACCACTGCACCACCAGGGAAGTCCCCAAAATAACTAGTTTTAGGCTGGGCCTAACACAAGTCCTTCTAGAGAAAGCTCCAGAGTTCATGGAGAAGTTAGAAGACAGACACTAGACCAGGAAGCTGTAACATTTTAGCCAAGTAGTGAAGTATAGGAACCAATGCTTTTCATAATTTATTCGCCTGCACACAAGGTAATCCTGCCAAAAAACAAAATGAACATCAACATCTGACCCACTAAAACTCTAAAGGATGCTGAACAAACTATTCTGACAAGGCAGGTCAGCCTGCACCCACTATGACCCACCACAGTCAGAGGGAATACAGTCATCAAAAGTAGGACTCTGTAGGGATGACCCCTAGTTACCTGGTCTGACCTGGATCCTAAAGTCCATTGGGTCACAGGTCACTGAGCCCTGGTGAGAGCCCCTGGGATGGGGTGGGAAAGGGAGAAAGGGAGGAACGAGCAGACAGTGCCGCTGCAGGCACCATCTCCATGACACCCTGACGCACACCCACGTGGAGCCGTGAAGGCTCAGGGGCTCCTGTCCGGCTCCTGTCTTCTGTGCTGCAGAATGAACTGCATTCGTCTGACACTGGCGGAAAGTAGCAGTATTCTAGAGGCTTCCCCGGGCCCCACCCGGACTCCTGCACAGGGCAGGCCTGTTTTAGGTAGAGCCTAGGGAACCAGGGAGGGAGCAGCAGGGGCCTCAGGACAGGGGTGGGGTGGAGGGGAGGCCTGGAGGGGCTCACTCACTGCCCAGAACCTGGATCCACACACGTACCCAGACCAGCAGGAGCCACTTTACAGGGCATCGTTTCTCGAAAATGTATATGAAACTCAACTTCTGTTTTACATGCTCTGGGACCTTCTCTTTTTTTTTTTTCTTGCGTTATGCGGGCCTCTCACTGTTGTGGCCTCTCCCATTTGCGGAGCACAGGCTCCGGACGCGCAGGCTCAGTGGCCATGGCTCACGGGCCCAGCCGCTCCGCGGCATGTGGGATCTTCCCGAAACGGGGCACGACCCCGCGTCTCCTGCATCGGCAGGCGGACTCTCAAGCACTGCGCCACCAGGGAAGCCCTGGGACCTTCTCTTTTAAAGAAGCCAGCAGTTATTTCGCTTTATAAGGTGAGGAGTGGGACACAGGGAAAACAGCGTGAGCTTCAGAAGCAAACACACATGAATCAAACCACGGCTTTACCACTGCACCCATTCAGCCATTCACTCCTCCAGAAACATTCAGGCAGTGCTCACTGGCCCCGGCAACAAGAGTGAGCGAGACACATGGTGACTTTTCCATGTCAACCTGGATAACCAAGTAACTTCTCTCGGCCTCAATCTCTCATCTATAAAACATAAAAGATACTACGTACTTTGCAGGTTGTAGTTTCTAATTATGACTGAAATAAGGAAACAGTTTCTGGCATATATCGGGATTTTTTTATATTACGGATTATAGTAACAATGTCCCATTTCATGTGAGAGTTCTTCCTTTAAAGTGATGCCTACCTATTTCCAACGAGCTACAGTCATGTTATTCTCAGCAACGTCCCCAAGTAAACATCTCTCTCCCGCTAAAAGATTAAATTTCTACTCACTCAAGCTCATTAAGATGGAGAAATCAACTCAAGCTGTAAATGTTACAACTCCACAGAGCACAGGACTGGAAGTCCACTTGTCACTACAGAACCTGTAGTTCTTTGCTTTGCCTCTTGGGACTCCACTTTCTCCATCTGTGAAATGGGTATAACAATAACTGCCTTGCCTACTCTGTAGTGCTTTTGCAGAGACTAAAGGCAATAAATGATATGAAAATACTGTCATTAAAAACCAACAACAAAGCTCAGGTTCTATTCACATAGGGGGCTGAGCTGGGTCTCATACTTGACATGGTTAAAGAGGATGTGGGGTGGCAGGCTTGTGACTGCAGAAAAGAAGCGGTTTTGTGTTGGTGGCTAAACGGGAAGACCAGCTCCAGTGCAGCCCACAGCCCGAAGCCTATGCCCCAAGGAAAGAAACTGAGCAGAGAAGCTGGGAAGAACCCCCGAGGTTACCTGCTTGCCCTTCACCACATGCTTGGGCACCGGCACCTTGAGCTCCAGGTCAGTGTAGTCCTGGGACCAAGCGTAGTTCTCACGCACAGCACCATTGTAGCTGTCGGGGTTTCTCTGGAACTGCTCCTGCCTCCTGAGAAAGAACAAGAAGTAAGATGACAGCCCAGGCCCACACACAGGGCAGGAAGGCCACAGGGGAACCCAGGTACATACTGTCTCTAGGTTGTGAGAATTTTCACCTAATCTCACTTGGTTTTGCATCTAAAACTCTCCCTCTCTCTGGGCGATTTTGTTTCTGACCCCCCAGCTCGGGCATCCTGGGAGGTCACAGGAACAAAGGGAAGAGCCAAGGAGAAGAGCCTGAGTGCAGCACCCTTAAGGTTAGGGAAAGTATCTGCCACCACAGACCACGGCACAGCCTGGTCCTCCTGGTCTTCATGAAGCTTAGAAACCAGGCCAGCCCACAAACCAAAGAGCCTCATTAATAAAATCCCAAGGGGACTTCCCTGGTGGCGCAGTGGTTAAGAATCAGCCTGCCAATGCAGCGGACACGGGTTCGAGCCCTGGTCCGGGAAGACCCCACATGCCACGGAGCAACTAAGCCCGTGTGCCACAGCTACTGAGCCTGAGCTCTAGAGCCTGAGAACCACAACTACTGAGCCCACACACCACAACTACTGAAGCCTGCACACCCTAGAGCCTGAGTGCCGCAACTACTGAGCCCGTGTGCTGCAACTACTGAAGACCACGCACCTGGAGCCCATGCTCTGCAACAAGAGAAGCCACCGCAGTGAGAAGTCCGCGTACTGCAACGAAGAGGAGCCCCCGCTCACCACAACTAGAGAAAGACCGTGTGCACCAACGAAGACCCAACACAGCCCAAAAAAAAAAAAAAAAAAAAAAACC